CCGGATTTACATCTTTTAAATGCAAGTCTTTGAGCTTGTTGCACACAAAAGGAAATTCCCATGATAATACCACGGAGCTAGGTCTGTACTGGGAATGTAACACACCATGCATAGACGCATAAACACAATGAGATGGCCACCAGCTGGTTTCCTATTCAGCTGCCATCTATAATTAGGTATGGGCTATTATACATTCTGGCTTTTGATTATTGAAAGAGCAACAACAAACATTTTTGGACTTCAACTACTAAGACACAGCTAAAGTTTGGGCTTTTCTTAATGAGGGAAATGAGTTTGTAATTTTCTTGCCAACAGTTAATCTTGGATTTTCTCCTCTTAGGCTTCCAAGAACAAAACACTTGTTAAATGTCATCAATGAAAACTTTGGCACCCTTGCCTTCTGCCGCAGATGGCTGGATCGCTTGGGAGAAAGTAAATACTTGATGGCTCTGAAGAATCTGTGTGACTTGGGCATTGTCGATCCATATCCACCATTATGTGACATTAAAGGATCGTATACAGCTCAATTTGAACATACCATACTGTTGCGTCCAACATGCAAAGAAGTTGTCAGCAGAGGAGATGACTATTAAACTTGGTCCAAAGCCACCTCAACACGTTTATTTTCTAAGCTTTGTTGGAAAACATTATACCAGAATTAATTTGCAACATATCTGTTTTAACAGTGGACCCATGTAATACTTTTATCCATGTTTAAAAAAAAAAAGAAGGAATTTGATCAAAGGCAAACTGTCTAATGTAATTAACCAAGGAAAAAGCTTTCAGGACTTTCAAATGTTAACTGTTTTCCCCTTCCTGTCTAGGAAAATGCTATAAAGCTCAAATTAGTTAGGAATGACTTATACGTTTTGTTTTGAACACCTAAGAGATACTTTTTGAATATTTATATTGCCATATTCTTACTTGAATGCTTTGAATGACTACATCCAGTTCTGCACCCATACCCTCTGGTGTTGCTTTTTAACCTTCCTGGAATCCATTTTCTAAAAAATAAAGACATTTTCAGATTGGAGAGCTACATCTCAATGTCTGTGGTTATAATTCTGGACAGGATAAATAGCTAAACTTAATGTAGAGAAATGCAGAGAGATTTATCTGAAATGTAGGCCTCTACACTGAGACTCTTCTGGCATAGTGGCTAAAACAAGATCTACACATGCATAAAGAGGGACAATCATCTTTTCTTCATAAATATACAGCTTTAGGAATATTTCGCCATTCTCTATAGGACGGATTAGTCCTTGTCTTTTTTTTCCCTGACATTGGAAAGACATACTAACTGAAACATGACTTAGTAGGAACATTTCCACCTTGAAACCTTGATTTAGTAAAAATCTCAATGTTTAGATCAGGCGTCCCCAAACTAGGGCCCGCGGGCTGCATGCGGCCCCCTGAGGCCATTTATCTGGCCCCCCGCTGCACTTCAGGAAGGGCCACCTCTTTCATTGGTGGTCAGTGAGAGGAGCACAGTATGTGGCGGCCCTCCAACGGTCTGAGGGACAGTGAACGGGCCCCCTGTGTAAACAGTTTGGGGACGCCTGGTTAGATCCTTTGTCCAGTGGCAGTATTTATCAGGGAATGTACACTCAGCTTGCTCAGAAAACCAAAAGGGCATTAAAGCCATGAAAGCAAAGAAGAAAAAAGTTTCCCATGTTCTGATCTTGTTCTGGTTAGAAAAATTAAATTGAATTATTGCGCTTTTTCATTCATGAGGCAAATGCTGTAGTACCTTGCCCTTTGACAGGTTTGTATTCTTAACATTACTAGTGGCATTTCAGGAAGTGAGGTTACAGTTACTTTCCTTTTAGCGGCTAAGTGTATTAAGTTGAATGTAACGATAATATTAACTTGTTTGAACTGAGGCCTGCTACTGATTCTTTAAGAAATTGCTTGAATTCTTATATGTAAATAATTTTATGGGAATGTTCCATCATAATTTCTAAATTGTTTATATACCAAGGTAGCCTTAATTTGTGTATGTTTCAGTACAATGAGATTTTATTGCCTCTGGGATGCTGTTTAGTTTGTATCTTATTGAACGTTTTTATCATAGGAAGAGAAACCTATGACTTTTGTACCTAGATCATTTGTTACATTAAAAAGCTGCTCTTTCAGCATTAGATCTATAAATGAATGTTACCTTGTGGGGAAACAATCTAGTTTTTAGCTGTATGAGCTGTTTATTATGGTGCTAATGTTCGATAGCCACATTTTACTAATTTCTCCATTTTCTGTGATGCTGTGGCTAGCAGCAGAGCTCACCAGTTCATGCCTGGACATACTGTCAGGGCTGCGCCCTCCAGCTAGCTCCTTTGGGGTTGAGTCCATATCTTTTTGATGTGGAAGTATAAAGTAAGTATCTTGATTTCTAAACCCAGGAATTTTAGAATTGGCCTTTATGAGTGAAGAGACTTTTGGAGCTTTTAAAGATCTTGGCAGTCATGATCTCAAACCAATTATGAGCTCCAAGCTCCCTTCCCAGGTAACTTTGGGAGCAATGGCATCACTGTATGCCCTTGTAATGGCTGGAAGAGACATGATCTTGTAAGTAGGAAAGCTGTCACTTAAAATTGTATTGTTTGCATATTAGCCATGTATCTCTTCAAATTTTGTTATGTTTACAATGATGTACCTTATTGGCAACATATTATTAGTTTGATGTTTAACAATAGTGCCTTTAGTAAATAATTTTACAACCAAAACATGTTGTTTTTTGTTAGATCAACTTAGCAGAATGTAGACGTCCATGTTGAGCTTTAAGATACATAGTAAGAAATCTAAGTTTCTGTTTATTGTTTAGGTTTTAATTTTATCTTTGGTATTTTGAGATGTTTTTAGAGCCAGTTTAGGTTCATACTAAAATTGAATGGAAAGTACTACAGATTTCCCGTATGCCCCAATAACACCCCCTCCTCCAGGCCTCCCCCATAGGTGTTACAATGGATCACAAAGTAAAGGGCTAAGTCACTTTCTCATACATTTTTGTATTGAAATATTTACAAGCAGCTATACCATGACAAATAACATAGTTGATGAGTTTTTTAGAATTCCATTAAAATTACATGCTAAAATGTAAAAAGGACATTTTAAAAATAGTCCTTGAAATTAGAAAAGGCTAGACTCTGGTAACTTGAACACATAAATTTTTAATGAGGTATTAAGTGTTTATCAGTTGAGGTAACAATTTGTTTAGGTATTATGAACAATTTTGAACATAGCCGATCATTTTTGGCACAAATGATTTGTCTGTTTAGTGATAAAGCCTTATTGCACTTCACTATCATTGGCTAACAACTTATTTTGTGAAACTTAAGAAAAATTTACTGGTAGAGATCTCTTTCAAGTCTGTACTTAAAAAGATGAACTAGTGGTGAACAGCATTCTACAGGATATTATCTTTCACTAAGACTTCAACCTGCAAATAAATCCACTTTAAAAAAAGGATAGGCCTGTCGCAGTGGCTCATGCCTGTAGTCCCAGCACTTTGGGAGGCTGAGGCAGGCGGATCATGAAGTCAGGATTTCCAGACCAGCCTAGCCAACATAGTGAAACCCCGCCTCTACTAAAAATACAAAAAATATAGCCCGGCATGATGGCGGGTGCCTGTAATCCTAGTTACTCAGGAGGCTGAGGCAGGAGAATCGCCCAAGAGGCGGAGGTTGCAGCGAGCTGAGTTCGTGCCACTGTGTGACAGCGGGACTCCATCTCAAAAAATAAATAATAAATGATCTTTCTGTGGTTACCACTGAGCTTAGATATTATATAGCTGGTCTACAGAGATTAGTTAATTTCTACCCTCTCCCAATAAGTTAGCAGCAACAGGACTTTAAAGAGTGACTCACACTGTATTTTTTTTTAATGCAAGTTTAAATAGCTTTTAATTTCTTTTTTTAAAATTCTCAGGGCCAGTGTTGAAGAGGCTCCTACCTAGTAGACACACAATCCTAACAAGAGTAAGTAATCAAGCTTTAGTTATTTAGGAGAATGAGATGCTAGACACATAGTCCAGTAGCCAGTTTTCAACAGGTGCCTTTTCTGCCCTATAATTTCTCTTTAAGGCTCTTACTCCTTTGAACTAAAAAATAGATATGAAGTTTTAATATCATTAGACATTACAAAATGAACTCATGCCCAAGGTAAACTATTTGAATAACATCATACGCTGGTTTGCTGAATTCAGACATTTTATGATTGCTTTATTAGACTACTGGACAACTGTTTGCTGCCAGACAAAAATCATAAATCCCAGCCATCATTTTTTCATGTCCATAGTTCCAAAGTTCACTAATATACTATTTGTAAAGCTGCTATTTTTATGTATAGTTTGACTATGCCAAGTAAAGAGCAATTACTAAAACAATTATGGGGTTACATTAACCAAAATCATGTCTATTACAAGGCCTGTTAACACACAAAGCCTCAGAAATAGCAGTGAGTGTGACTGATGAATATTTAGGTGATACCTTGTTATGTCACTTCAGTAACTCCAAGGGGCAAGGTAATTTCAATATACAAATAGCCTGAAAGAAAGGCTATTAGTGACCAAAGCAGAGTCTAATTTTCCATCTACTAAGAATTTGTATACAAAATAGCTGAAAAAGATAGTATATATATACAAAATGATGCCTCCTGAACTTTGTTGGTGTAAGACTGCACAAATTCATGATCTGAGCCTGTTAAGACAAAAATTTTTATAAAAGAGGTAACAGTCTGAGGTAAATACCAAAAGTTTAAGACTCCAAATTTTAAACAGTGTATATATAACTCCAGTGTATATACAACTGTGTATACCTTCAGTTGATATACACATATTTGTACTTAGGGGGGAAAAAAAGTTTTGTTGTAGTTAGATACAAAATATATAAATGTAGTGTGCACTGATTCATAAGAAAAATAATGAAGCTTAAAATGGTACATCAGCCCTTTTTAAAAGAATATATATATATATATCACAGGAAGAAAGCCCCATTGTCTTTGGATCAGCTAAGGATTTCATTAGAAGAGGTATCAGCTTCTTCATTGGGATGTTGGCTCCCAGACAGGAGCTCTGGAGGCAAAAGTATAGAATGTCCATTCTCAGTAACTCGTTGGGTATAAAACAAGATATAAGCTTGGGCCTTGCATACTTCATCCATAGTGCACATGCTTAGCTTGGAATCATTGCAGTGTACCCAGAACCCTAGAGCAAAGCACAGAAATACGTTTATATAGGGACTTTAGGAAATTCTAGTATGAAAGGCATTAAGTTTGAGTGAGAATTAAACTTTTTCTGAAGGGAAAATAATTTTCTAGCGAATTTATTTTTCTTTTATTTAATGAGAAATATAAATTGGGCAGTATTACCCTGGAATTATCTACCTTTATTTTAGAAGTAGCTTGAAGTTTACAGCAAGCATCTGACTGATTAGAGTACCTGACACTATTCCTTGTATAAACCTTTTGCCGCTAATCATACAGGCTGATCATCCCCAATTCCAAAATCTGGCCGGGCATGGTGGCTCACACCTGTAATCCCAGCACTTTGGGAGGCTGAAATGGGCAGATCACCTGAGGTCAGGAGTTGGGAGACCAGCCTGGCCAACATGGTGAAACCGTGTCTCTACTAAAAATGCAAAAATTCGGGTGTGGTGGTGCACATGTGCAATCCCAACTACTCGGGAAGTGGAGGTTGCGGTGAGCCAAGATCATGCTGCTGCTCTCCAGCCTGGGTGACAGAGTAAAACTCTGTCTCAAAAAAAAAAAAGCAAATAGTATACAACTAACTTGGCAGTTTAGTGTTGAGTTGCCTTGGTGGATTAGCTGGGCTTCTTATCCTCACTTCTCTTTTTCTGTTTGGGGTGTGTGGGGTTGAAGATGAGAGATGGAGTTTCATCCCTTGTTCAACAGTAAGTATCAAAAGGGGAAGAAAGGCTGGGCATAGTGGCTCATGCCTATAATCACAGCACTTTGAGGTGGGCATATCAGGAGGTCAGGAGATCAAGCTCAACCTGGCTATCACAATGAAACCCCATCTCTACTAAAAATACAAAAAATTAGCTGGGCGTTGTGGCATGAGGGTGTAGTCCCAGTTACTCAGGAGGCTAAGGAAGGAAAATCACTTGAACCCAGGAGGTGGAGGTTGCAGTGAACCGAGATCACACCACTGCACTCCAGCCTGGTGACAGAAAAAGGTTGGGGAGGGGAGGAAAAAAAAAATAAAAAGAAATCTCAATCTAATCACTTTTGCTAGAACTACACTAGAAGGCAGAAAATAAAAGTGAGTTTTGTATGTTAAACTTGAACACGGTGTTTGTTCTAACTATCTGTGATCCCCCAGTTCATTAGGTGCCCTATTCCTTTAACAAAATTAACAGGTAAGCCAGTAAACAGGACCTGCTCTTCAAAGTGTGTCTTTAACACTCACTTTTAGTTAGCAACAAGACTATCCCCGTTACTATGTCCCTCCAGCCCTTAGTCAAAAGTACTGCAAAACCAGAAAATACTTGATGCATAAACTCTGATTTTTAAAATACCTCCAGAGGTATTCTCCCTAAGAAAATAAGCAGTCAAGTAGCTTTGTTTATGATTTAGTAGTCAGTTTAGAAATCATTAAAGGCTGAACTCCAGCTTCCAAGTCCAACCCAAGATAAAATACTTTTTCTTATCTATACCTCCTTCAGAATTATAGCAGTAGGCAGTGTAGTGCCCTGAGCCAAATCCTTTCCCATGGTGCATCACCACCGCAGATAAGTCATAGATAAAGCATTCCGGTCTGAGAGATTTCAGGGTCTCCCTGCAGCAATAGGGCTCCATGTTTAAGATTTCCTCAAAGACAACATGAACACCAATCTTCTCTCTGTTATTGCGTCCTGACCACCTGTGAACAAACCGGAGTCAAATTATCAACACAATTAAGGGAAAATAGCCATGTACTAGGTCTAGACAGTTGTAACAGGTGACCCCAGGAAATATGGAATACAAATTATATATAAAATTCTTTCAATGCTGAAGTTGGCTATATATGGAGGAATTTTGGCTTATTTTGCCTTGTCTTTAGATGATGATAGGAAAAAAATACTAACTTTTTGGAAAAGTATTGCCTTATGGGGGCAGTTACCCGCTAACAAAAGTCAAGGCCATGAAAGAGTTGGGTTTTGTTTTGTTTTAAGAAGGAGTCTTACTCTGTTACCCAGGCTGGAGTGCACTGGTGAAATCTTGGCTTACTGCAACCTCTGCCTCTTAGGTTCAAGCCGTTCTCCTGCCTCAGCCTCCCAAGTAGCTGGGACTACAGGTGTGTGCCACCACACCCAGCTAATTTTTGTATTTTTAATAGAGAGGGCTTCACCATGTTGGCCAGGCTGGTCTTGAACTTCTGACCTCAAGTGATCTGCCTACCTTGGCCTTCCAAAGTGCTGAGATTACAGTTGTGAGCCACTGTGCCCAGCCCACCAGAGGGTATTTAATTCCTTATTGTCTTGCCATGGTATGAAGAGGGTTATCCCAGATGGGAGACACAGTCTGGATCCTTCTTGGCCAGGTATGGAGGAAAACAAAACAGGGCACTTCTAATTCCTCAGAACACTTCAGAGATTTTCAGACTAAAAAAATAGGAACTGTGTCCCCTCACTGTGTGTACATCAGCACAACCGCCCATTAGTGACAGAACTCAAAGAATGCCCTTATCCTGTCATTTCTCAGTCTGTTGGTCATATTTCCCATGACTGGATTTCAGCATGGCCAGCAGTGTGTTTATCAATAGGCATAATGAGTTGGTGCTATGAGGAGTAAATACTGTATGTAACGTGGTAGTTCAAGAGATTATTATAGTCCAGTTTGGGGTAGTATGGTACAGAGACAAGGCAGACAGATTAAAATACAGTAGTCAAGTACTAAAACATGAGCTTCAGACAAATAACAACAGGTAGAGAAGGGAGAGACAGGAACATAATTTTATGATAGAAAAAAATAAATGTGAAAATGCTTGGTACAGTGTAAAATGATACGGAACTAAAGATGAACCATGCAAATTATGTTGTCTGCTGGACTGTAAGTCATAATCCAATCTCTCTGTATAGTTGTGAAATACATATTTGGTCTTCCTCTCAGTTTCCTGAGATATATCTCCTAAAATTCTTGGAATCTCTGGAGTGATAAGAGTATCTTTTGTATGCTAATGAGACTAGTAGCTGGCAACCCCTAGATAGCTTCAGGTTGTGGGCTAGACCTGGGAATGACTAGAGAGGGTTGGTACTTTCAGCTTCCTCCCCAACACTGCCCTCCACACCCAGAGGGAACGGGGGTGGGCGGGGGGTGGGGTGGGGAAATGATGTAATCAATCATGCCTGTGTACTGAAGCCTCCATAAAATCCCAAAAGGAGGGGGTTCTGGAGCTTCCCGATAGCTAAACATGTTGAGGTTCCTGGAGGGTGGCACCCCCAGGGAGGATGTGGAACCTACACACCCCTTCCCACAAGCCATGCCCTACACATCTCTCTCATGTGGCTGTTCATATGTATCCTTGAAACTCTCCTTTGTAATAAATGGGTAAACACAAAGGTTTTCCCGAATTCCGTGGGCCCCTCAAGCAAATTAATCAAACCAGGGGAGTGGCTGGTGGGAATCCCATTAAGTTTACAGCCAGCAGGTTGGTCAGAACTTCCACAAACCTGGAGTTATGACTGGTGTCTGAGGTGAGGATCAGTCTTGTGGGACTGAGCTCTCAATTTGTAGGAATGGATGCTACCTCCAGGTAGACAATGTCAGAACTGAATTGGAGGACACCCAGCTGGTGTTCACTGCAGAAGTGACTGCTTGCTTGGTGGGGAGAAATCTCCGATACATTTTGGTAAGCAGAAGCCACATTCATATTCTCTGTTGTAAGAGTATAGTAGGAGAAACTGAGTTTGGTTTTTCCAGTATCTCTCAGCCAGGTGCAGTGGCTCATGCCTATAATCCCAGCACACTGGGAGGCTGAGGCAGGCAGATTGTCTGAGTTTAGGAGTTTCCAGATTAGCTTGGGCAACATGGCAAAACCTTGTCTCTACCAAAAAAAAAAAAAAAAGAAAGAAAGAAATACAACAAAATGATGAAGAACAGTAAGATAATACTATACCCAAAATTCATAATGGTTTCCTTCTGAGGAGAGGGGAAAGGAGTAAGACTGACAGGCACACAGGGGACATCTAAGGCATTAGAAATATTCTGCTGGGTGCAGTGATTCACACCTGTAATCTCAACACTTTTTTTTCTTTTTCTTTTCTTCTTCTTTTTTTTTTGAGACAGAGCCTCACTCTGTCACTCAGGCTGGAATGCAATGGCATGATCTTGGCTCACTTGCAACCTCTGCCTCCCACGTTCAAGCAAATCTCCTGCCTCAGCCTCCCAAGTAGCTGGGATTACAGGCACTTGCCACCATGCATGGTTAATTCTTGTATTTTCATTTTTGTGTTTGTTTTTTATTTATTTGTTTTTGAGATGGAGTCTCACTCTGTTGCCCAGGCTGGAGTGCTATGGCAAGATCTCTGCTCACTGCAACCTCCAACCCCTGGATTCAAGCAATTTTCCTGCCTCAGCTGTCCGAAAAGCTAGGATTACAAATATGCACCACCATGCTCAGCTATATTTTAGTATTTTTAGTAGCGACGGTGTTTCACCATGTTGGCCAGGCTGGTCTCAAACTCCTGACCTCAGGTGATCCGCCCGCCTTGGCTTCCCAAAGTGCTGGGATTATAGGCATGAGCTACCACACCCGGCCAGCACTTTGGGAGGCTAGGATGGGTAGACTGCTTGAGCATAGGAGTTTGAGACCAGCCTGGGCAACATGGTGAAACCCCATCTCCACCCTGGGTAACAGAGTGAGACTCCATCTGTAAATAAATAAATAAGTAAATGTAAGTCATTTACTAGCCAAGCATACGGTACTAAAAGTTAATTCATTTGCCAGAAGGTGATTAGGAGGAGCATTCTTTAAGTTTTGAAGCATAAGCACAAGGAATAATCACTTTGCAACCGGTGTTAATACAGACCTGAATCGTTTGAGGTGCAGCCTGAGAACCTGAGGTAGGTGGCATATCATGAGTTGTTTCTGGGCTTCTGTGAGTACAACTGGTTTGGAGGAAAACCTTCTACGCTTTGCTGTAACATCAAAGAATAAAAATCAAATTTAATTTAAAGATGCAGGGAAAAGCTGAGTAAATCTTCATTTTAATTAAGTCAGAAAGGAGAAATACCTACTGTGTTCCAGGCATTGTACTGTGCTAGAGATACAGACATAAGCTTTGCTCTTGAGAAACTCATGATCCGCAATTAAACAAAAAACTTAAGAGCTAGTCAAGTTAGCTAGATCTGTAAACAAGCACATCATTTAATAATAATCTTGCATATCATGTAATAGAAGAAAGTATACTGCTTTATTTATTTATTTATTTAGAGACAGAGTCTTGCTCTGTTGCCCAGGCTGGAGTGCAGTGGCATGATCTCAGCTCACCACAAACTCCGCCTCCCAGGTTCAAGCAATTCTCCTGCCTCAGCCTCAGGACTACAGGCATGCACCACCATGCCCAGCTAGTTTTTGTAATTTTAGTGGAGACGAGGGTTTCACTATGTTGGCCAGGCTGGTCTCGAACTCCTGACCTCGCGATCTGCCACCTTGGCCTCCAAAGTGCTGGGATTACAGGCGTGAGCCACCATGTCCAGCCATAATATTTTCAAATGGAACTGTCTATACCAATTAATAGGAAAAGTTAAAACATTCCCTAAACATTTTAATATACATTCCCACACTCTTAATTTAAACGTTTGTGGTCAAAAGATTTAAAAAAGAAATAAGAAAAAAAAAATGTGTTGTCAGTTCATTTTCTGAGGCTAGTCAGGACCCCAGAGGAAGGTCCTGACTGCCTAGAACACCCCTCCACTTTTCGTGGGGACCACCCCAGCCCTGGCCAATGGCCTAGGAAAGCAGGCCTTCACCAGCACTGCATCTGAGGCCTCCCTCACTCAAGCATTTTGCTTTTGCTCTTTTTGCACCATATTTTAAACAGCTGGAACTCAGGATTCTTCTTGTCCCTTCTGCTTCTCTAGAGGTCCACCTATGGACTGTCCTGCAGCTGGGCCATCGGCTGCAGTTTGTTCCTGATGTCCAGGAGCTATCCTTCAACTTGTACACCAGCTCCGACTCCGGCCATGGCAGCAGCTGCTTCTCATGTGAAAAGTAGGCTCAGTCCACTGTGAAGCTGACCTCTAAGCCACCTTTGCTGGCCATCAGCAGCCTTTCTTCCAGGTGTCTAACCCTGCGATTCAGGTATCTGGCTGCTGCTGAAGCTCCTGGAACTGCTTCTGGATTGTCTCCCAGCACATCTGGTCCATTCGTAGCCAGATAGGGGATGTCAGCTCCCTGGTGTATAATTGTAAACCTTTGCCCTGCTGTGTTAAAGCAGCTTTTTTAGGCCTGTATTTGGTAGCCTTAGTAAACACATAGAAATCTGCTATAAAACCATATTCTGCATTCATAATATTACCCCCGAATTTGGTGATGAAAGCATTTAGGACTCTTCACATTTATATCCAAGAAAAAATAATACTTTATCATAAAAGCTTTGACAAAGGTTTATTTTTTAAAAAACTTATAAATTTTATGAGCTCACATTAGACAGCACTCAGAAAAAAGTGTTAAAGTTTTCCTAGGAAACCATCAATTGATATAACATTTCTTCAATGTGGGAATATCCTGTTTTTTTTTGTTTTTGTTTTTTTACATTACCTTGAAAGTTTACTCTCTAAAGCCCTAGAATCTATTTCTGAGATAAGGAAATTAGGGAGAATACATATATATATACATGTATAAAATATATATACAAACATAGTATAGTATAAACTAGTATAAACTATAGTATAGCATCTATATAGTATACTACATGTTTATACTATATATATATAATATCAATACTAAGATGCTATGTAAGTAGATCTTATTCTTTAATTTCAATAGGTTTTTGGTAAACAGGTGGCGTTTGGTTACATGAGTAAGTTCTTTAGTGATAATTTCTGAGATTTTGGTGCACCCATCACCCAAGCAACGTACACTGTAGTCAATGTGTGATGTTTTATCCTTCCTTCCCCTTCTACTCTCTCCCCTGAATCTCTGAAGTCCACTGGATCATTCTTATTTTATTTTTTTTTTTGAGATGGAGTCTTTCTGTGTCACCCAGGCAAGAGTGCAATGGCACCATCTCAGCTCACTACAACCTCCACCTCTTGTGTTAAGCAATTCTGCCTCAACCTCTTGAGTAGCTGGGATTTCAGGCATGCACCACCACACTCAGGTAATTTTTGTATGTTTAGTAGAGATGGGGTTTCACTATGTTGGCCAGGCTGGTCTTGAACTCCTAACCTTGTGATCTGCCTACGTTGGCCTCCCAAAGTGCTGGGATTACAGGCATGAACCACTGTGCCAGGCCCACACTAGATCATTCTTACGCCTTTGCATCCTCATAGCTTAACTCCTGCTATGTATACATCAAAAGAGGAGATAAAGACACATCAGATTTTTTTTTTTTTTTTTTGAGACAGAGTCTTGTTCTGTCACTGAGGCTGGAGTGCAGTGGCGCCATCTCAGCTCACTGCAACCTCTGCCTCCTGGTTCAAGCAATTCTCCTGCCTCCGCCTCCCAATTAGCTGGGATTACAGATGCGCTCCACCACACCTGGCTAATTTGTGTATTTTTAGTAGGGATGGGGTTTTGCTATGTTGACCAGGCTGGTCTTGAACTCCTGACCTCAAGCCATCTACCCGCCTTGGCCTCCGAAAGTGTTAGGATTACAGGTGTGAGCCACTGTGCCTAGCCAGCACTGCAAATCTGATGCGGTTTTACACACCGTTACCTTGGAGAAAGATGCTTCTCTTAAGTGGCTGTTTTGCCCCCAGCGTCAGTTTCCTGTGCTCTCTTCTATTAGAGCGCTTATCATAGCAGATCCCGTCTATTCGCTTCCTCCACTAGAAATGTGAGCACCTTGAAAGTATCTTACCTCTATCTGTAGACACTGGGAATAACTAACACAGAAGAGACAGTGTATGGTTTTGGAGAAATCTTTGTTTTGATGAAGCCAATCTCTACAGCAGCAGTCCAGCATATATTATTTCCTATTTTATGTATATAGACACACACACACACATTTATCTACATATCATTTTGATATATAGCAAAAAAAAAAGCTCATAGAGCAAATGTTTCATTCACCCTCCATGACATGCTTTCATCATTCCTCTTTGATACTTTATTTTGCTCTACATATCACATTTAAACTTCTTATGATCTTCTCCCTCCAAAATTGTCTACAGGATCAGAAACAATTTGAATTCCAACAATACAGCACAACAAACGCATAGTTCATAAATGCCAATTATAAAGTGAAAATCTGTTTATTTCAGTGAACTAAAGTTCATTTTCATAACTGCTAAAGAGTTTCTGCTTCCTCTCATCTGCATTTCTCTTTATTATTCCTAGGAGAGCACAGAGAACACACCGTCTTTACTCACAGTTACACTGGTCACATACGTAGATTTTTCCTTCTAAAGCTTCAGTTTCTGTAAATTTTGCCAACATTTCAGTAACCAGACATGGCTGGGAAGCAGGATCTTTTCCACTGCATTGATACCGTTCTGGAAACTCCAATGACAAGTCCCAGAAAGGTTCTATGGTATTTGATTTGTTGTCACATGCAAGACATGTAACCTGCAAATAAGAATATTCATTCCTAAAATTATAATCTTTCCGTCAAAACATTAACTCTTTTCACTAGAGGTCACTGCCAATAAATAAGCTTTTCTCATGAAAATGCACCATTAGCCGGGCGCGGTGGCTCAAGCCTGTAATCCCAGCACTTTGGGAGGCCAAAGCGGGTGGATCACGAGGTCAAGAGATCGAGACCATCCTGGTCAACATGGTGAAACCCCGTCTCTACTAAAAATACAAAAAATTAGCTGGGCATGGTGGCGCATGCCTGTAATCCCAGCTACTTAGGAGGCTGAGGCAGGAGAATTGCCTGAACCCAGGAGGTGGAGGTTGCGGTGAGCCGAGATTGCGCCATTGCACTCCAGCCTGGGTAACAAGAGTGAAACTCTGTCCCCAAAAAAAAAGAAAATGCACCATTAGAATTCTGAATAATCTGCTTTACATTCTTGTCAGGAAGTCTTTCATTATAATTTTTCCTTCCAAAGGACTGTTATTAGTACCATCATGAATTAGGTGCTTTAACTACTGGGCATTCAAAAAGCTCTAAGGGCATTACATTTAGATAAAAATCCAAATTGTAGACACACTGAATAGAAACGTATTTCTATATGTATATATAGATATATACATATGATGTTTATTCACATGCATTAAATTTAATGTATTTATGTCAGTCGAGGTTCCTCACTGTTTCTCCTTCATCTTTTTTTTTTCTGAGGTAGAGCCTTGCTCTGTCCCCTGTACTAGGGTGCAATGGCACAATCTCGGGTCACTGCAACTTCTGTCTCCTAGGTTCAAGTGATTCTCCTGCCTCAGCCTCCTGAGTAGCTGGACTACAGGTACCAGCTACCATACCCAGCTAATTTTTATATTTTTAGTAAAGATGGGGCTTTGCCATGTTGGCCAGGATGGTCTCAAATTCCTGACTTTAGGTGTGATCTGCTCACCTCAGCCTCCCAAAGTGCTAGGATTACAGGTATGAGCCACTATACTCAGCCTCTCCTGCATCTTTTGCTGTTTTTTTTTTTTTTTTTTTTCTTAACTCCAAATGCTATAACCTCTTAGCTCAATCCAATCTTAACCATATTAGAAGTAAAATACTATCTTTTCTTTTCTTTTTATTTATTTTTTGAGACGGAGCTTCACTCTGTCGCCCAGGCTGGAGTGCAGTGGTGTGATCTTGGCTCACTTTGACCTCTGGCCCCTTAGGTTCAAGCAATTCTCCTGCCTCAGCCTCCCCAGTAGATAGGATTATAGATGCGTGCACCACACCTGGCTAATTTTTTTTTGTATTTTTAGTAGAGACAGGGTTTCACCATGTTGTCCAGGCTGGTCTCGAACTCCTGACTTCAGGTGATCCACCCGCCTTGGCTTCCCAAAGTGCCAGGATTACAGGTGTGAGCCACTACGCCTGGCAATACTGTCTTTTCATTACACAGTTAGGCCCTGACAACTGATTATTTCAAAAGACATGATATATGACATAAATAATTATGTTATACTCTTTATATTGTCTTTTTTTTTTGTTTTCATTTTCTAATGATGTTATACTCTTAAACATCACAATAAAATCCCCTTCCTAACAGAAAACGAAAAACATGGAGCTGTTTTAACAACTTACATAGGCAACGTAGCAACTGGAAAGGACCTGAATAGTAACTTCAGTGAGACATTCAGCAGGATTTAATGCCAACAAACACTTCACATAATTGAAGACAGACTCCATAAACTAGCAAGTCAGCACATGATATAAAATATTATAAAGAACCTCTTTCGTACAAGCTATGGTCCTGTCATAGGCAATGAAATAAATAAACCAGTTCTAATACAGATTTTAGATTTAACAAATGGACACAAAGAACACTCCTGGTGTTTATAGTCTAGGGACTCAGTAGTGCCAGGGCCTGACATTGTGAGAATTTTCTTGAATTAAAAAAAAAAAGACAAAAGAAAAAACACACAAAAAACCATTCTAGGCTGGGTGTAGTGGCTCATGCCTGTAATCTCAGCACTTTGAGAGGCCAAAGCAGAGGACTACTTGAGCCTGGGAGTTCGCGACCAGCCTAGGCAACACAGTGAGACCTCGTCTCCATTAAAAAAAAAAAGGAAAACACATTCCAGCAACCAACTGTCTTAAATCTCCTGAGAACCAGTTCCCTAAGAGTGTATTAAAGAAAGAAAAGCAAAAAATTGATATAATAATTTGTATTAATTTCAAAATTCATTTATAAAGGAAAAAACAAACATATAGCCACTCTTCATATTACTGGAAATATATTTTAAAAAGAAAAAAGAAAAACACTTCACGGAAAGAACTTTGTCACCAAGTAACAGAAGTCTTTACTCTGACAAAGTCAGTGTCCAGAACTCTGTCAAAAGGAAATTGGAAAAATTAATTCATAAAAATGGAAAAAATTAAAAACAGTCAACAATAGGGGAATGGTTAACTAAGTTATACTATAAACATGATGTTAAACAACAAAAATATACAAAAAAATGATGAACATTGAAATGTTTTGAAAAGAATGATTAAATATTTTTAATGACTGGAAAATCATCACAACATTAAATGGGAAAAGTAGGTAAGAGCAAAATGACCAATTATGGGAAAATATGTAGATATGTGCAGGAGAAAAAGAGACTAGAAGAAAATATACCAAAATATTAATAGTTTTACCCATGGATTGTGGGGTTACAGGATTAGAAAATGATTTTTCACTTTTTCTACATAGATTTCTTATATAGGTTTCCTACAACTATAATAGCGTATTTAAAAACTTTTGCATAAAAAGAAAATGACGGAGAAAGATGGAGAAGTAAAATTGCATGTAACACAAGTACAACTCTTTTTGCTAACTGACACAGAGTAAAGTCTTTGCATTTTTGAAACACTGAAAAATAAACTTCATAGATATTCCTTAAGGAGAAATACATCTGAAATACTTAAACAACAATATCTAGGAAAGTATGCTATAAAAACAAAAGATGACCTTATTACAGTGAAAGTTAAACTGAAGCCGAGTGTGGTGGCATTGTGGCTCACAAGGTCAGGAGTTCAAGACCAGCCTGAACAAGATGATGAAATTACAATTGTTTACTTGTTAAAGCTCTTAGACCATGACGCTTTGGTTTTATAGGAAGTCCTCCAGGGCTATTCCTTGGTACCTGAAATTGGTCAAATGTGCACCATTTTCTTTCTTTTTTTTTTTTTTGAGGCGGAGTCTTGCTTTGTCATCCAGGCTGGAGTGTGGTGGCATGAACTTGGCTCACTGCAAACCTCCACCTCCTGGGTTCAAGCAATTCTCCTGACTTAGCCTCCCAAATAGCTGAGATTATAGGCATCTGCCACCACACTCAGCTAATTTTTGTATTTTTAGTAGAGATGGGGTTTCACCATGTTGGTCAGGCTGGTCTTGAACTCCTGACCACAGGTGATCCACCCACCTCAGCCTTCCAAAGTGCTCGGATTATAGGCATGAGCCACAGTGCCCAGCCATGTGCACTATTTTCATCCCCAGTATAGCAGTATCTTCAAATCTGTTCCTTCTGGGATTTAAACCCTCCTCTTCTATCCCTCAGACAATGAATGTTATATTGGTAACCTAGAGAGCTCTGTTTCCTGATTTCTCCCTCCCTCTAAAAGCTTTTGATACCATGGACGTAAAACTACTTCCAATGATTCATAAAAGAGGGAATTGTAAATGTGTGAGCTGATTTCTTTACACATATTTATAAAAATAATCTATTTTGACCTGCAAATGGTACCAGCTCAACATACTAGATGTACATAGAATATGCCCACTTATAGGCTTCACTCTATAAACTCCCCATGATAAAAATAAGATTTAAAAAAATCCATACCTGACTAAGAAGTTGTCCATGAAAAATGTTATTTACAACATTCAGAACTTGTTTGATTAGTTTCCTTTGAGAAGTGGGGATAAGAGCCGGTAAACTGGTACCAGTTGTCTCTAATTCATGTTGTATTTTATCTAAAAGTTCACAAAGAAATTCCTGAGCATCTTGTTGGGCATAACCCCGAAAGGCAGGAATGAGTCTCCACACCGAGTGTAGCATAGCAAATGGTGAGACCAAGGCCCACTTTCCAGACCACATGACTTGGAACAAAGTATGCAATTCATGACAAAGAGAAATGTACTGTGAAGTTGGCTCCCTTGGCTGAATAAGTTCCATCTTTCTACCTTTTGATGCTCCACCACTGAGTCCTGATGACAAACTTGAATGTCTGGAGCGAACAAAACCTGTATCTTTTTCTTGACATTCATTCATTTGATATACTACTGTATCAGTGACTGGTGGATGCTTATAAGATCTTGTCTTCTCACTAGAAGTCACAGCCAGCCATTGGTTCAGATCAAGCTTTAAAAAACACTGCCGAAAAATAAGTAAATGGCTCAACACCTGAAGAACAGAATTCATATAGCAAGTGTTTCCCAAATTTCTCAATCCTGTTACACCAGGAGTTACTACTGGCCTTCGTTTAACTGAGGAGTCACTGACTTTTTTAGATCTTTCATCTTCTGAGGTAGAGACTACTTTATCTTTTGCTGGTGATGCTGGAGTCTGTGCTGGCCCCTCAAGAGGAACTATTTCTATTATGGTTGACTGAGCAAGCCCTTGTAAACGTAAACTCTTTCTTGGAGGCATACTTTCCAATTCTGCCTTAACTTGATACTCTAATTCTTGCTGTCTTTTCTTTACTTCTCTTTTTACTACTATTTTTTCCTGAAATTGTTCTTGCTTTTTTCTTCCAATGGGTGATTGTTCAAACCATGTTCGAAATATTTTACCCATTAGGATCCTTCTCCTGTGCCAAAGAGCAGCATACATTTGATCTTCATTCTGAAGCAGAGATTGGGCATCATCATGTAAGAAATAAGAATCATCACCTGTACCCATGAACTGTGAGACCCTTCCACTGTGAGTTGTGCAGTGATAATTTTGACTTTTGATTGCACTTAATGTACTTCGCAGTAACTTCAGGTCTCCAGTTGCATTATCATTAAGAACATAATCATCACAAAGGTAACAAAAAACATACATCTCATTCACCTCCAGTGCAACAGGATGACTGCTTTCTTGAAAGTGCTTGAGTGCATGCTCTTCAATATATTTTCCGCAGGCAACATGGGAGCAGCTAAGGCAAGCCCAAATGGACTCAGTCGTGTTGCAGTCTTCACAGTGCCATTTCTGAGGGTTGAGGATGGAGTGGTCTTGAGCAAGCTGCAACTGCCCAACATGTTTGCACTTATCCATTGTTAGCATTTATTTAGTCTAGCTGAGAAACGCATAATCCAAACAAGTCTGTGTTCACATTTGAAGCATCTGAAAACTAAACAGAACAATGCCAAGTGTTAATAAAAACAATATGCATATATTTTTCATGAGGTGGTTTCCCAAGTATAATAAAGATTTGTATCCTCTGTTCCCGATTTCTAGGCTGCTTATAACACCATTGGCAGTTCTTACTTTTCCCTTGCTCTAGATGTCCCTAATCTCACATCCACCTTGCTCTGAAAGCACGGACATTTCACTTTCTCTCTTAATTTTTAATTTAATTCAATTTTATTTTATTTTATTTGAGATGGAGTCTCGCTCTATTGCCCAGACTGGAGTGCAATGCATGATCTCGGCTCATTGCAATCTCTGCCTCCCAGGTTCAAGGGATTCTCCTGCCTCAGCCTCCTGAGTAGCTGAGATATAGGCACCCACCACCACGCCCAGCTACTGTTTCTGTATTTTTAGCAGAGATGGGGTTTCGCCATGTTGTTCAGGCTGGTCTCAAACTCCTGACCTTGTGATCCGCCAGCCTTGGCTTCCCAAAGTGCTGGGATTACAGGCGTGAACCACTGCCCCAGGCCGACATTTCACTTTCTCCTTTAACAACTTTTGTTTTTAATTTTCTGCCACCATCTAGTGGTGAAAAATGGGTAGTAATCACTTTCCACTAGAATAGCTTAAGACCTATCCTTTTTACCCAGTAGTCTGAGGGCAATTTCCAAAACTACATTTTTTTTTTTTTTTGAGACAAAGTCTTGCTCTGTTGCCCAGGCTGGAGTGCAGTGGCACCATCTCAGCTTACTGCAACCTCTGCCTCCCAGGCTCACATGATTGTTGTGCCTCAGCTTCCCAAGTAGCTGGGATTACAGGCCTGCGCCACCATACTTGGCTAATTTGTTTTTTGTATTTTTAGTAGAGACAGGGTTTTGCCATGTTTCCCAGGCTGGTCTCGAACTCCTAGGCTTGGGTCATCCACCTGCCTCAGCCTCCCAAAGTGCTGGGATTACAGGCATGAGCCACTGCGCCCAACCCTTTTTCTTAAGGACTGGGGTTGTCAAGACCCAAATATATCTCACTAATATTTGTAAACATTCTGAACCCCATGCTGAGTTAATAAAGCATAATCAAAGATGAAACAATGAGTCTTAAGGCAGAAAAATGTAGATTTGAATTCTACCTTTGCCACACACTGTTAAATGTATGGTTTCGAGCAAAGGTTTTAACAACTTCTCTAAACCATCTGTAAAAGAGAGAAAATCATACCGATTTCAATTGAACTGTTGAAGAATTGATAGACAATATTTATCTGACCCATAGTAAATGCTCAATAAATGGTAGTTTTAACTGTAGCTATAGTGAACAAATCTTAATACCCTATTCAAATAAATCAGATATTCTATTTAATTACCGTTAAACTTGTTTTTTTCCATTTAGTCCAGGCATCCCCAAACTTTTTACACAGGGGGCCAGTTCACTGTCCCTCAGACCGTTGGAGGGCCGCCACATACTGTGCTCCTCTCACTGACCACCAATGAAAGAGGTGCCCCTTCCTGAAGTGCGGCAGGGAGCCGGATAAATGGCCTCAGGGGGCCGCATGCGGCCCACGGGCCGGGCCGTAGTTTGGGGACGCCTGATTTAGTCAATCAATAATTACCTTTAATTCATGGCTCTATACCATACTCTGAGACTAAACAGACATAATAATTGGCTTTAGGGAAAGAGAAAGACAGAAGTGGAGAATGTGCTTTTGTATTTGAATATTCTCAGGAACGTACAAAAGTAAATAAAGAGAAAAAAAGGAAGAATATGAAGTGGGTAGCAGTAAGCTTTTATTACACTCTGGCAGGCCTAAACCTATCTGAAATTATAAGCTTATTTTAAAAAAAGCTTATGTAATTTTTTGACCCAGAAATTTTTCCTTTATCAAAGTCAGGAACACTTCTGCTGTAAGTTATTTACATGTAATAAACAGAAATCTTATTTAAAAAATAGTGATTACAAAACACTTTTCTTTCATCGATTTAATACAAATTGAAGACAAATTTCAGGGTTTGAGTGGAGACCTAGTTACGAAACACTAAAAACATCCTATGTATCATGACCAAGGCATTAAATTTTTAGGGCAGTTGAAACTGTAAATTTCAATGGTACCTGCAAGTGCCACCTCTAGGCCCTTAGGAAAACTGCAAAAACAGTTGATTTTTGGTTCCTTCCTACCTCTTCTTGTAAAATCTAGTCATCGTTCCTCAATTTTTAGGTATCCCAACTCTCACATCATCTCCCTCCCCCACTTCCCCTCCCCCCGCCCCACCTCTCTTTCTTTCTGACAGGGTCTTACTCTTTCACCTAGGCTGGACTGCAGTGGTGCAATCTCAGGTCACTGCAACCTCTACCTCCCAGGTTCAAGCGATTCTCCCATCTCAGCATCCTGGGTATCTGAGACCACAGGCATGTGCCACCACATCCGGCTAATTTTTATATTTTTAGTAGAGACGGAGTTTTGCCATGTTGCCCAGGCTGGTCTCAAACTCCTGGCCTCAAGCAATCCACTCGCCTAAGCCTCCCAAAGTGCTAGGATTACAGGCATGAGCCACCATGCCCGGCCCCCATGTTCACACGTTTCAAGTGCACATTTTAAATTTACTTCTCTCTCTCTCAAAATTTTCAGAGATTTAAAATCTGGTTGAATATGGTAGTTTATTAGAACACTTAGGATTTCATCATAGTTGCTAATGGCAAAATTGAGACATCAGTGATTAATATATTCCATTATCCCATATCTTTCTATACTGAGGCAAGAAACCTTGGAATCATTCTTGACTCTCCCTAAATCAGTCCTTCAAGAAAAATGGTTGGCTCCATCTTCAGAATAGATGGAGAATCTGACTACTTAGCACCTCTGCTGCCACCAATCTGATCCAAGATACAATCAAGTCTTAGCTGGATTGCTGCAGTAAGGCCCCAGATGGTCTCTCCACTTCTGTCCTGACTGCCACCAAGTCTACTCTCAACACACAGTAGCACCATCTGCATCTAGACCTAGACAGCCGGTTACTTTAGGGAGCCCTTGCTGTGGCCCTCCTCCATTAACACGTAGTCAGCAAGGCCAAGGGCATGTGGCCACCTGAGGTCTGCGTACACCAGCAACTCCCCTTCTAGAACTACTCGCTGATACCGGGGACTCAGAGAATTACTTTCCCCAATCATCCCCAAGCTTGCTTCTAGGGCCTATGAGCAACATAGAGCTACTGAAGAAATCTGTAGAGGAGAATGATATGATCAGATCTGTGGGTTACAGAGGGATCTGAATTACAAAGAGCTCTGGAGAAGGGACAAGTGATTAAGAGAGACTAGGTGTCCAGAAATTATCAGGCAATTAAAGCTATAGCAGTTTTGAAGAAGGGGGCAGAGTAGAATTAGTGCTTTACAAACACTGGCTGAGAAAACTGATTCAATTTGGAGGTTAAGGGAAGAATCTAGGGCTCTGTATTACCTTTTATTCAGTTACACATGTTATTGGCAAATTATAGAAAATAATTACTAGTTCAACATCCTTAGGCCGGGCGCAGTGGCTCACGCCTGTAATCCCAGCACTTTGGGAGGCCAAGGTGGGCAGATCACAAGGTCAAGAGATTGAGACCATCCTGGCCAACATGGTGAAACCCCGTCTCTACTAAAAATACAAAACTTAGCTGGCATGGTGGCACGCGCCTGTAGTCCCAGCTACTTGGGAAGCTGAGGCAGGAGAATCTCTTGAATCTAGGAGGCGGAGGCTGCAGTGAGCCAAGATCATACCACTGCACTCCGGCCGGGCAACAGAGCAAGACTGTCTCAAAACAAATAAGCAAACAAGAATATCCTTGCAGAGAACGCCAGCATTTACTCTCAAAAAGATAATTTCGTTCCAAAATTTTAAACAGGTACAATGAGTTAACTTAACACCTTACACAACATTCAGAAAAGGCTCCATAGAAAAAACTCTGGTGAGAATATATACATTTATTCTGAGGTTATCTCTGGGTAATGGGACTGCAAATTACTGTGCTTTCTTTATTCATCCATACTTTCAAAATTGTAAAAATAACAAAATAAGTTTTAAAACAGCTCAGATAGTGTTATGTATGTGCTGAATTATACACTAGCCTCTTTACCACTTTCTCTACTCTGCAAATACATTCTCTTGAATATAAAAAAAGTGCCCATTTCATTGAAGCTGTTGCTAAAAAAAATCTCTTTAGATGACAGCAAAGTACTTGGCCTTCAACAGGAAGTGTCATCTATAATTGAACACATGATTCTACTTGACACAAAACTGTGAAAAGGTTGAAATCTTGATTAGATGTCATCTATCTGAGAGACATTATGGTAGAAGAGAGGTATTACAGTAGAATGGTTAGCACCCCTGGAATCTAAATCCCCGAGTTTAACACTTGACAGGATTTACTACGTGACCACAATTATGTGCTACATACCTCAGTTTTCTTATCTGTAAAGTAACAGTGGTAATAATACCAATAGGGTTGTTGAGGGAATTAATTAGAACAATTTCTGCACTTAATAATATGGCCCTCAGTACATCTTAGCTGCCAATTGTAACAAAATAAATTATTATTTTAAATGCTAGTTTCCTTCTAGTTGATCACTGTTAGCCAGGGCTACCGTCTTCTCAGCCAAATGTGTACTAAGACCAACTAAGGTGCTAACAGATAATCAAGATGTTAGCTAAGGACTAAGGTCTGACCTCTCCCAGGGGTATTTGCATTTTAAAAGGGGGTCTCTTAAAGATAAAATCTTTTCAAAAATAGAAATATGTGGCCGGGCGCGGTGGCTCACGCCTGTAATCCCAGCACTTTGGGAGGCCGAGGCGGGTGGATCACGAGGTCGAGAGATCGAGACCATCCTGGTCAACATGGTGAAACCCCGTCTCTACTAAAAGTGCAAAAAATTAGCTGGGCATGGTGGCACGTGCCTGTAATCCCAGCTACTCAGGAGGCTGAGGCAGGAGAATTGCCTGACCCCAGGAGGCAGAGGTTGCGGTGAGCCGAGATCGCG